GATCACTTGAGGTCAGGAGTTTGAGACCAGCCTAGCCAACATGATGAAACCCTGTCTCTACTAAAAATATAAAAATTAGCCAAGTGTGGTGGCATGTGCCTATAATCCCAGCTACTCGGGAGGCTGAAGCACGAGAATCGCTTGAACCTGGGAGACGGAGGTTGCAGTAAGCTGAGATCATGCCACTGCACTCCATCCCTGGGTGACAGAGTGAGACTCTGTCTCAAAAAAAAAAAAAAGATTAGCATAATGATGTCCTCGAGGTTCATCCATGTGGTAGCATGTATCAGAATTTCTTTTTAAGGCTGAATATTCCATACATCTATGTGTGTGTGCTTATATACCACATTGTGTGTTTTGTTTGTTTTGTTTTTTATACTTCTTAAAATTATTATACTTTAATTTCTAGGGTACATGTGCACAACGTGCAGGTTTGTTGCATATATATACATATGCCATGTTGGAGTGCTGCACCCGTTAACTCGTCATTTACATTAGGTGTATCTCCGAATGTTATACCTCCCACCTCCCTCCTCACCACGACAGGCCCCAGCGTGTGATGTTCCCCACCCTGTGTCCAAGTGTTCTCATAGTTCAGTTCTCACCCATGAGTGAGAACATGCGGTGTTTGATTTCTGTCCTTGCGATTGATTGCTCAGAATGATGGTTCAGCTTCAGCCATGTCCCTACAAAGGACAAGAACTCATCCTTTTTTGTGGCCGCATAGTATTCCATCATGTATATGTGTCACATTTTCTTAATCCAGTCTGTCATTGATGGACATTTGGGTTGGTTCCAAATCTTTGCTACTGTGAATAGTGCCACTATAAACATATGTGTGCATGTGTCTTTGTAGTAGCATGATTTATAATCCTTTGGGTATATGCCCAGTAATGGGATGGCTGGGTCAAATGGTATTTCTAGTTCTAGATCCTTGAGGCATCACCACACTGTCTTCCACAATGGTTGAACTAGTTTACAGTCCCACCAACAGTGTAAAGTGGGGTTTTACAGTTTCCCATTATTATTGTGTGGGAGTCTAAGTCTTTTTGTAGGTCTCTAAGGACTTGCTTTATGAATCTGGCTGCTTCTGTATTGGGTGCATCTATATTTAGGGTAGTTAGCTCTTCTTGTTGAATTGATCCCTTTACTATTGTGTAATGGCCTTCTGTGTCTCTTTTGATCTTTGTGGGTTTAAAGTCTGTTTTATCAGAGACTAGGATTGCAACCCCTGTTTTTTGGGGTTTTTTTTCTTTCCATTTGCTTGGTAGATCTTCCTCCATCCCTTTATTTTGAGCCTATGTGTGTGTCTTCATGTGAGATGGCTCTCCTGAATACAGTACACTGATGGGTCTTGACTCTATCCAATTTGCCAGTCTGTGTCTTTTAATTGGAGCATTTAGCCCATTTACATTTAAGGTTAATATTGTTATGTGTGAATTTGATCCTGTCATTATGATGTTAGCTGGTTATTTTGCTCGTTAGTTGATGCAGTTTCTTCCTAGCATCAATGGTCTTTACAGTTTGGTATGTTTTTGCAGTGACTGGTACTGGTTGTTCCTTTCCACGTTTATTGCTTCCTTCGAGAGCTCTTGTAAGGCAGGCCTAGTGGTGACAAAATCTCTCAGCATTTGTTTGTTTGTAAAGGATTTTATTTCTCCTTCACTTATAAAGCTTAGTTTGGCTGGATATGAAATTCTGGGTTGAAAATTCTTTTCTTTCAGAATGTTGAATATTGGCCCCCACTCTCTTCTGGCTTGTAGTGTTTTTCTCGAGAGATCTGCTGTTAGTCTGATGGGTTTCCTTTTGTGGGTAACCCGACCTTTCTCTCTGGCTGTCCTTAACATTTTTTCCTTCGTTTCATCTTTGGTGAATCTGACAGTTACGTGTCTTGGAGTTGCTCTTCTCCAGGAGTATCTTTGTGGTGTTCTCTGTATTTCCTGAATTTGAATGTTGGCCTGCCTTGCTAGGTTGGGGAAGTTCTCCTGGATAGTATCCAGAAGAGTATTTTCTAACTTGGTTTCATTCTCCCCATCACTTTCAAGTACACCAATCAGACATAGATTTGGTCTTTTCATATAGTCCTATATTTCTTGGAGGCTTTGTTCATTTCTTTTAACTCTTTTTTCTCTAAACTTCTCGCTTCATTTCATTCATTTGATCTTCAATCACTGATACCCTTTCTTCCACTAGATCAAATTGGCTACTGAAGCTTGTGCATGTGTCATGTAGTTCTCATGCCATGGTTTTCAACTCCATCAGGTCATTTAAGGACTTCTGTAGACTGTTTATTCTAGTTAGCCATTCGTCTAATCTTTTTTCAAGGTTTTTAGCTTCTTCACAATGGGTTCAAACATCCTCCTTTAGCTCAGAGAAGTTTGTTACTGCCGATCGTCTTAAGCCTTCTTCTCTCATCTCATCAAAATCATTCTCCATCCAGTTTTGTTCTGTTGCTGGCAAGGAGCTGCATTCCTTTGAAGGAATAGAGGCGCTCTGATTTTTAGAATTTTCAACTTTTCTGCTCTGTTTTCTCCCCGTCTTTGTGGTTTTATCTATCTTTTGTCTTTGATGGTGACATACAGATGGGGTTTTGGTATGGATGTCCTTTCTGTTCGTTAGTTTTCCTTCTAACAGTCAGGATCCTCAGCTGCAGGTCTGTTGGAGTTTGCTGGAGGTCAACTCCAGACCTTGTTTGCCTGAGTATCATCAGTGGAGGCTGCAGAACAGCAAATATTGCAGAACGGCAAATGTTGCTTTCTGATCTTTCCTCTGGAAGCTTCATCTCAGAGGGGCACCCGGCTATATGAGGTGTCAGTGGGCCCCTCCTGGGACGTACCTCCCAGTTAGGCTACTCATAGGTCAGGGACCCACTTGAGGAGGCAGTCTGTCTGTTCTCAGATCTTAAACTCCATGCTGGGAGAACCACTACTCTCTTCAAAGCTGTCAGACAGGGACCTTTAAGTCTGCAGAAGTTTCTGCTGCCTTTTGTTCAGCTATGCCCTGCCCCCAGAGGTGGAGTCTACATAGGCAGGAAGGCCTCCTTGAGCTGCAGTGGGGTCCACCCAGTTCAAGCTTCCTGGTGGCTTTGTTTACCTACTCTAACCTCAGCAATGGTGGACACCCCTCCCTCAGCCTCACTGCCACCTTGCAGTTCGATCTCAGACTGCTGTGCTAGCAGTGAGTGAGGCTCCATGAGTGTGGGACCCTCTGAGCCAGGCACGGGATATAATCTCCCGGTGTGCTATCTGTTAAGGCCATTGGAAAAGCACAGTATTAGGGTGGGAGTGTCCTGATTTTCCAGGTACCATCTGTCACAGCTTCCCTTTGCTAGGAAAGGGAATTCCCCAACCCCTTGTGCTTCCCAGGTGAGGCGATGCCCCGCCCTGCTCCATGGGCTGCACCTCCTGTCTGAGAAGTCCTAGTGAGATGAACCCAGTACCTCAGTTGGAAATGCAGAAATCACCCGTCTTCTGCCTCACTCACACTGGGAGCTGCAGACTGGAGCTGTTCCTATTCAGCCATCTTGGAACCTCTCTCCACCGCATTGTGTTTATTCACTTATCTGTCAGTAGACACCTGAGTCACTTTTACCTTTTGCCTATTGTGAATAATGCTTCTGTGAATATGAGTATACAGAAACCTGTTTGAGTTCTTGTTTTCTATTCTTTTGGGTATATGCCCAGAAGAATAACTGTAATATACAGTAATTATATATTTCTTTATTTTTTGTGTGTGTGGAATTGCTATACACAGTCACTGTGCCATTTTACATTCCCACTGAGATTTCCTGAACTTTCTGTTCATTAGCATTTCACTCAATGGGTTTTAGAATCAGTGATATATCTTGTCTGATCAATAGCAAGATCCCCCACGCCACCCACCCCTCCTTTTTTTTTTTTGAGACAGCCTCACTCTGTCATCCAGGCTGGAGTGCAATGGCAGGATCTTGGCTCACTGCAACCTCCGCCTCCTGGGTTCAAGCAGTTCTCCTGCCTCAGCCTTCCAAGTAGCTGGGATTACAGGCGCCCGCCACCATGACTGGCTAATTTTTGTATTTTTAGTAGAGACAGGGTTTCACCGTGTTGACCAGGCTGGTCTCCAACTCCTGACCTCAGGCGATCCACCTGCCTCGGCCTCCCAAAGTGCTGGGATTACAGGCATGAGCCACCGCACCCGGCCTGCAAGATAACCCTTTTTATATAACAGTGAGAGAGAAAAAAATACCTCCAGTCAATTATAAGATGATCCCAATCTCAGAAGTATTAAAATGTGCAAAAAATGTATCTTAGTCTCAATGGAATATAGTTGGTAAACATACTAAAACCCCCTCCAAAAAAAATTTGTGTAAGTTACACAACTTTTAACACAATCTTTGTGGGGCAGGAAAGTAAAAGTGGCTACTCAGCAATAGTGTATGAAAATACCTTTCTCAAATGTACTTTTACATTATTTACAAAAGAATGTGGGCCAGGCACAGTGGCTCATGCCTGTAATCCCAACACTTTGGGAGGCCGAGGCAGGCGGATCACAAGGTCAGGCGATGAAGACCATCCTGGCTAACGTGGTGAAACCCCATCTCTACTAAAAGTAAAAAAAATTAGCTGGGTGTGGTGGTGGGCGCCTGTAGTCCCAGCTACTTGGGAGGCTGAGGCAGGAGAATGGTGTGAACCCGGGAGGCGCAGCTTGCAGTGAGCCGAGATCGCACTACTGCACTCCAGCCTGGGCAACAGAGCAAGACTCCATCTCAAAAAAAAAAAAAAAAAAAAAAAAAAAGAATGTGCTTCACACACAGTTTTTTACCCCAAAACTTACCTAGCTATGTCTTAATGGCAGTTTGGAATAAAAGTACAAACCCCTCCGTCAGGTCCTCTGCAAAATAAAAATAAAAAGGTAAAAACCCCATAGGACAGTAAACAGTGTATTCCAGATGTTAGTTCCCATATATTTGTGATTTCTGGTAAAAGTATCCTAATGCTCTTTTGTCTTTGTTTTGCTTAAAGGATTGTTCAAGTTTAGAAGAATATAACATTGCCGCAGCATTACTCCCTTTGACCAGTGCTTTCTATAGGGTAAGTTTCATTGGTCCATATATAAGCTTGTTGCGATTTACATAAATGTATTCAGTTTGATTTATTATGGAACTACATGAGTCCTGTCCTCTTAGTAGTATGCCTAAGATATATCTGTGGTTATATTTATTATAACATTTATTGCTATGTGTAGGAAATTTAATATAGAACACTAAATCATCTCCTAAAATAGCACCCACACCCATTACATCCTTTTCCTTAATTTTCTTTATAACACTTTAAAACATCTGAATTTATGTTACATATTGGTTTGTTTACATGTTTTTTCCCCATCATAGAAAGTAAATTCCATGAGGCTGGAATATTGTCTATCTTCTTTACTGCTATGTTCCAGGGCCACTCAGTAAATATTTATTGAATGAATGACATTGAAGCCGGAAATTAGAGTTTAACTTTACTGGTAATTTCTGTGAACCTTCTGAGAATTTTCCGCAATGTTCAAAGTGATTTTTTAAAATTCTGTCACTTATTACAGTTATATCTATGCTTTTTCATAAATAGATTAATTCTTATGGCAGACAAAAATCAGCAAATTTCTTTTCCCATGAAAGACTTGTAAAGCATTAGATAACCACCCACACTTGGAACAATGCATTTAATACGTCCTTTTGAAATATGCAATAATGCACAGTAATTCTGTGGTAGCAGCTCACTTACTATTCAGCCACATGCACAGTCAGCTTCAAGAAGCAATAAGGTAACAAGTTTGGTAACTGCCATACTGTTTCTCTCTGTTAGCAGAGTAATCATACATACTTAATGTTTTAGTGGTGGGCTTGGATTTGATTTTTTGTGGTTGGCATGGTTTGTTGTTGGATGAGTTTGTTTTGGATTGTTTTGGTTTAGGGATGAATCAGTTAAGGTCCAATCAGGAAGCAGAAACCACACCAGTAATTTGAACAGAGAAATTTTATTTTATTTTTATTTTTATTTTTATTATTAATTTATTGAGATGGAGTTTTAGCTCTTGTTGCCCAGGCTAGAGTGCAATGGCGCAATCTCGGCTCACTGCAACCTCCTCCTCCCATGTTCAAGCGGTTCTCCTCAGCTGCCCAAGTGGCTGAGATTATAGGCATACACCACCACACTTGGCTGATTTTTTGTATTTTTAGTAGAAATGAGGTTTCACCATGTTGGTCAGGCGGGTCTCGAACTCCTGACCTCAGGTGATCCACCCATCTCGGCCTCCCAAAGTGGTGGGATTGCAGGCATGAGCCACCGTGCCCAGCCTATTTTTATTTTTTTGAGACAGGGTTTCACTCTGTTGCCCAGGCTGTAGTGCAGTGGCACAATCTTAGCTCCCTACAACCTCTGCCTCCTGGGCTCAAGTGATCCTCCTGTCTCAGCCTCCCAAGTAGCTGAAACTACAGGCACACGCCACCACACCCAGCTAATCTTTTTTTTTTTGGTTTTATTTTTTGAGATGGAGTCTTGCTCTGTCGCCCAGGCTGGAGTGCAGTGGTGCGATCTGAGCTCACTGCAACCTCCACCTCGCAGGTTCAAGCAATTCTCCTCCCTCAGCCTCCTGAGTAGGTGGGATTGCAGGTGCGTGCCACCACACTCAGCTAATTTTTGTATTTTTAGTAGAGACGGGGTTTCACCATGTTGGCCAGGATGGTCTTGATCTCTTGACTTCATGATCCTCTTGTCTTGGCCTCCCAAAGTGCTGGGATTACAAGTGTGAGCCACCGCATCTAGCAGATTTTTGTAATTTTTCGTAGAGACAGAGTTTCACCATGTTGCCCAGTCTGGTCTCAAATTCCTAAACTCGAGCTATCTGCCCACCTTGGCCTCCCAAAGTGCTGGGATTACAGGGGTGAGCCACCACACCTGACCAGAAATTTTAATATAGGGAGTTATTAAGTAGTAATAGGGGATTAACTACGAAGAGGTAAAGAGAATTCTTAAGAGTACAGGAATAGAATATAGGGAGCAACTACTGCCTCTAGAGCTCAGGCATAGTACCCAACAAAGAAGCAGACTTGGAAGAAAGCCCCTCCCCAGATCTAGGCTGATTCAGATCATGTTGGAGAGGTGTTGTGGCCACTGGATGGCATAAAATTTCAACAGACCAGAACTGGCAAGCAGTAAACTGCCTGCCGGAGTGCTGGCAAGACTTGCTAGGAAGCCACCCATTAGGATGGCCCTGAAACTTCTAGGGTGCCAGTGAAACTTGATAGGAAGTTACCACCTGGGGTACCGCTGAAACTTTATAGATAGTGAGCACTGCCACTCTAGTCCCACACACCACCAGTAGGTGCCTACCACAGTAGCAAAAAGGAGAAAGTACACCAGAACTAGGAAGAGAATCCACTTCCTACTGCAGTGTTCCTTCAGCATCTTTACTGGCAAAGCTTAATATTCTGCATTTTGGCAAAGGAGAAATGTTTATAAGGGCCAGTTCCAGTATCACAAAGCAAGACAGAGAAGGATAAGTTTGGAAGAAAGAAGTACTGCATTGATTACAGAGGGGTTAGGTAAGGTAGATCACACTGATTCTCGGATATTTTCTAAATCTGTACCTTTTGGAAAATTATTTCTAGTGCATATTAGATTTGTTGATTAAGGAAGTAGATATAAATTGCATTTTCCTGGGCACAAATTGCAAATTAGCCATCCTCATACTGTCCAGCCAGTATAAACTCCTGGGTCTTGCTAGCATTGCTTCAGAGAAGGGACTCAGCTGCTTGTCTTGTTTAAACTTACTTTTAAAATATTTTAAATAACATTATTAATTTTTTTCAATGGAACAAAAGTTTATTGGGTATCTCAATATAAAAAGCTACTATGATAGGCAACATCATGGGCAGCAACATTAATCAAACATTGACATGGTCCCTAGGAACTTATATTAATAGTCTAATACTGCAGATAATTTTTAAAAATCAAACTGATCCACAATGCCACCAACCAGATGGACATTATCTTAAGTAAAAGTTATGTGTGTGTGTGTGTGTGTGTGTGTGTATATATATATATATATACACGGGCCAGGTACGGTGGCTCACGCCTATAATCCCAACACTTTGGGAGGCCGAGGCGGGCGGATCACCTGAGATCGAGAGTCCAAGACCAGCCTGACCAACATGGAGAAACCTCATCTCTACTAAAAATACAAAATTAGCGGCGCATGGTGGCGCATGCCTGTAATCCCAGCTATTTGAGAGACTGCAGCAGGACAATCACTTGAACCTCGGAGGTGGAGGTTGCCATGAACCGAGATCACACCATTGCACTCCAGCCTGGGCAACAAGAGCAAAACTCCATCTTAAAAAAAAAAAAAAAAAGAAATTCTCATATATATATATATTCCAGATAGTACAGAAAGGAACAAAATGCAAAGTAAAAGTTCCCTTTTCCACCTTCATCCCATTTCCTCTGAACCATTGGTTTCCTTCCTGGGGAAAAGGAGTGGGAGTGGGGGTGAGGGGCCAGGGAAGAGTCATGCACTACTGCCAGCATATGCAGATTAAAATTTTCTTTTTTTTGGTGGTGGATCATTTGAAGTCAGGAGTTCGAGACCAGCCTGGCCAACATGGTGAAACCCCGTCTCTACTAAAAATACAAAAATTAGCCAACCATGGTGGAGTGCACCTGTAATCCCAGCTACTCGGGAGGCTGAGGCAGGAGAACCGCTTGAACTCAGGAGGCAGAGGCTGCAGTGAGCCGAGATCATGCCACTGCACTCCAGCCTGGGTGACAAAGCGAGACTATGTCTCAAAATAAAAATAAAAAATAATTTTTTAAAAAAGTATCTTTTTAACAAAAAGAAACCATTTACACTATTTTCACACCTTGATTTTTTCACTTAGTAGTACGTCTTGGTCATCCTCTCATAATAGCACATATACCTAATTATTTTTAATTACTCCATTTATATTTTTAATGAAAAGATGGCATATATGTACCTACTAATCTCATATGAGCAGAACATTTCATTAGCCCAGATGAAAGGTTATGTTTATCTTTTAGAGTTTTATTTAGTGTCAAAGTGTTCAAGATTTCCCACTTGTAACATTTCCTGTCTTAGATCCTTTGGAATTTGTCATGCAACAGCCACCACAAATTACTTTGTCCCCTAGATTGTAAGCCTACAGTTCCTTCTTCCTTCTTTCCTCTTTTACTAAGTTGCATGTGATTCACTAACTCTTATGGAAGCCTTCTTTGCAGGTGGTACCTTAACAGCCAGGTTTAAATTCTCAGGATTACTTTTACTGTGAAAAATAATGTAACCTTTTATACTTATGTTTGTTGTTTATATGGTACTTTCAGTTTTGATTTCAGTTTATTAGATATGGCAAGCCCTGTGCTTATGTCTGTTTCAGAGTAATCACAGATTAGTAACACATAATCCTTACCCTCAGGACACATACTAATGGCCTTTCATATCCATTGGTCAGCTGTTGACAGTAGAGGAATCATTTCAAAGTTGATGAATAATAACATTGAGCTACTCATTGATTTACTTATGCCCTTTTCATTTAAAGATTATGTTTATTAAATTCAGAGCCAGAGTGTATACGGAGAATATGTAAAGCAGGGGTTCATATCTAAAGGTTACTTTTTTAGAAGGGAAATAATAAAGTAAAACCCAATAGAGCAGAAATAGAACCACAATAGAATACTTTTGTATTATTCCTTCCCAACAATAACAGTGAGCAATAGTGAAAGTCATGGCCCCTTTACCACAAGCCACCATTTAACTTTTTTTTTTTCTTTTTTGATACAGAGTTTCGCTCTTTTCGCCCAGGGTGGAGTGCAATGGCGCAATCTCGGCTCACTGCAACCTCTGCCTCCTGGGTTCAAACGATTCTCCCACCTCAGCCTCCCGAGTAGCTGGGATTACACGTGCCCATCACCATGCCTGGCTTATTTTTGTATTTTTACTGTAGAGATGGGGTTTCACCATGTTGGCCAGGCTGGTCTTGAACTCCTGACCTCAGGTGATCCACCTGTCTCAACCTCCCAAAGTGCCGGGA